ACTGACACATCTACAGCTTTTTTTTATTGCAGTGGTCCCTGGAAATATGCCATGCAGGGATATTTTTATGCATTTTTCATGCATTTAATGAAATGCCAAAAAAACCCTCACTTTATCCAAATGTTCTGTGAATTGATTTGTCACCAAAAGCAGTATGCTTAAAAGAGAGGATTATTTCTGTAACAACCTGTACATCTGCGTCACCCACACTCTTATATTCACTACTTTTCTTTTGCAGTTATTCCTCCGTGTAGCTTTTTTCTTACCATCTATTTTTCCTCCGGCTAAGGGAAACAGCTATCCATGACCACAACACTTGAGCTATATAAATCACTAAACGAATCACAAAGACCAACAGTGATTCGGTGGAGGAAATATTCATTACGAGCATTCCATTTTTGATCCTAAAAGAGATGTTTAGCATGGATAAAAATAACACTTTAACTGTCTTAATGCTTCAGATCATCCTTTAGTTTGTGGTAGATATGCTGCAGGATGTGTGTGTCTTGACTGCAGTCATGAGAGCATTTCATCACTTCAACCATTTATGTGTGATGACCCACTTGTCCATTTCACTCAAACAGGCTCCATTATTGGTCATTCTGGGCATTTACCAAAATGGATGGGTTTAGATTACTGACAAGCATTCAAGGCGAGCATCTCTTTGCAGTTTCTCACCTGCCACAGCAGAGGACCACCGCAGTGCTATCCTAACAATGTCTTCACTTAAATTAATGGAAACTAATAGTGACAAATAGCTGCTGTGGTGTCAGGCCAACCACAGCCACGCAGTCGGTCTCTGTCACAATAACTGAGCCACCGTTTCTTACTTTTCTCTTTCTATTTTTATTTATAGTGAGATGCCTTCCAGTGAACACAGACATGCGCAACATGCTGTTAGTGAGATAAACACAAATCTTCAAAGAAAATGTCAACAAAAAGTCAAGATATCAACAACCACAGCGTTTGTTGCATTTGAACTATGTGAACACTGGATTCTATCATCATAAATCAGATTAAATCACAGCACCACAGAATGGACACTTCATGAACAAATAACCAAGAATTAGATTTGTACTGCAGGGAGAGGCTATTTCTTCTTATTCTTTTTTTTAAAATTGTAAAGAAGACATGCTAGGCTGTCAACAGTGAAGTGATTTATGGATTTTAATGACATAAATTCATCAGAAGACAAGTCAGGCAGTCAAGCTGCAGCTTTCTTTTCCTAATAATCTAACATCATTTACTATAGTATATGTTCACTTAGATATCTTGACTTCCCACATCATGAACAAGTGCAGCATTTTTTCTTATTCATTTATTTAATTTTATTTTCGGTGCTTATTATCTGTGCTTTCTAACATTTGCAGTCTTAGCTGACCAGATCACAAAGAGAAGAATGCATAAAAATCCCAGCTGTAATAAATCGCTACAATCAAAGTCATTATACTAATGACATCATCAAATTTACATTTAAAGATCAGGCCATTATTATGACTCCTGTTGGCTTGCTTGTTAAATCTGACAAGTTGTTTCTTCCAAGCAATTCTCTTGTACTAGGTTCTTTTCTTTTTTCACATCACAAGGTGTCATGCTGATAGGGAAAGAAAACAAGGAAAACATCTTCATTGTTTTGTCAATATATAGTGTCAAACTAAGGGAAAACATGTTGAAGATATATGACAAGCTAATTAACACATAAAAATACAGATGGACAATAAGTGGAAATTAAAACTTAGTGAACACTATTATTAAACGTCGAACTCTTTTGGAGACAAATAGTATTGAGAAACACTCGTCATTTCCAGTGACGCATGGTCACTGGTGTATTTTCAGTGTTTCTTCAAGTGTGATATGTGACCTATTATATTTATTCAGCTATTTTTTTATTCATTGTGTTACATATTGTTAATATGACAACGATCATTTAATTGAATTTGCTTTTATTTCGTGAATTTGGTTTGATTTCCCAAAGTGACAGTAATAAATATTTTTTAGGACTCTCACTATGTCGCTGCAGTTCTGTTCAGCCCTACGGGGTGTTTGCTGTCTTTCAGCTCACTGTTTTTTGTTTTTTTTGTTTTTTT